CTGTAATCCCAGCACTCTGGGAGGCCGAGGCAGGAGGATCGCTTGAGATCAGGAGTTCGAGACCAGCCTGAGCAAGAGCAAGACCCCATCTCTACTGAAAATAGAAAAATTAGCCAGGTGTGGTGGTGCACATCTGTAGTCCCAGCTACTTAGGAGGCCGAGGCAGGAGGATCGCTTGAGCCCAGGAGTTTGAGGTTGCTGTGGTCTATGATGACGCTACCACACTCTAGCCCGGGCACAGAGTGAGACCGTGTCTAAATAAATAAATAAACAAACAAACAAACTGAAAAGAACAAAACCCCAAAAGAATACGGGCAAAGAACATAAAAAGACACATCACAGAAAAAGAAATACAAATATCACTTTAAAACATGAAAATATGTTCAGCCTCCTCAAACTAAGAAAAGTGTCTATTAAAATTATACAGAGATACAATTACCCACCCAAAAGTTTGCAAATGCCCACCGTGCCAAGGCTATGAAGAAACAAGGACTCAGATATTCCTCATGGAAGCACAAAATGGAGTTTATAAAAAAAACTCTAAGCTGCAGAACCCACGCTATCTGTTGTGCAAAACAAAGAAGAAATTTAAAATACATATTTTTCTTTCCTTATGTTGTCATAAACATTGAAATAAATAAAAACAGTGCATTATAAACAAGCAAACAACTTCATGTCAAATTCACAAAAGAAGTAAAACCAATGGCCGGTAAAACCTAAAAAAAAATGTCGAGTGTCTGTTATATGCCTGCGATTTTAGAGCCAAAAAATAGTCAGTACCTTTCAGGGACATTTCGCTGCTACTATTTTAAGCTCAGACGACGCATTTGTGCACTGACAAGGAGAGAGAAACCTAAGTCATATGTCTTCACGTGGACCATACAGGAAAGAGGATGGATGGAGAAGAACAAAATATTCTGCTGTTAATATTTTTAAGAGGAGATTTACCTTAATTGCTGAATACAGAGAGTAGCCACAACGCTTCTTGAACTCCACTCGGATGTCCAAAAGGTCAATTTCTGACCTGGAGACCATTATTCGGTTCAGAGTGAACTCATCGGTTCCGGCACCCTATTAAGAAATGCAGGTGTTGATAACACAGATCTCGTTCAACACTGAACAGATTTACAAGGAAGAGATGATGGTACACAAAACATTCAACCGCGGTGATTCTTCCTCGTTCATCTACCATCGAATCTCACCGTTCGTTATTAGAGAAATATTTGTTGAGCACCTACTCTGTGCCGGCACCGTGCTGAATTCTGGAAAACAGATGAGTTGCTCCTGTTAAGCTGTCAGTGTTGTAAAGGATACAGGCAAGAAAGCAGGCCACTGCAGAACAGTCTGAAATGTGGGACACCCTGAGTATTGATCCTTCTCTCGCCACGGGACACGCCTGCTCCCCCTTCTCCCTCCGCCTTGACTGGAAGCTCCCTGGAGCTCTCGCCAGGAGCAGATGCTGGCAGGATGCTTCTTGCACAGTTTACAGAACCACAAGCCAAATAAACCTCTTTCCTTTATAAATTACCCAGTGTCAGTCATTCCAACAGCGCAAAACAGACTAACGCAAGTACCGTGGCGAGCGTATAGTCGAGGGGGCCAAAGAGAGATTAAGGATTGGGAAAGATCTGGCCGGGCGCGGTGGCTCATGCCTGTGATCCCAGCACTCTGGGAGGCCGAGGAGGGAGGATCGCTTGAGCTCAGGAGTTCGAGACCAGCCTGAGCAAGAGCAAGACCCCGTCTCTACTAAAAATAGAAAGA